ATATATATATATATATACTGTTGAGAGAAACTGCTCATAGAAGTGTATAAATTGTCTAGAGAGAATAATGGGACCTATGCAGAGATCTTAACTTGATTAATTTACCATAATTTAACATGCTCTGCACATTAGTAATCATCACAGTATGATGGAAATTTCCCATTAAGACTAGGGCAGTTAATAGGTGCAATATGTGATAGGGTGCCAAGATTTTGCTCTGGATGTAAAAGACGAGTATGACACTGGATATTGTCTATTTGGAAGCCCAGAGAAGTATTGAGGGTTCATGATTCCCTATTAAACAAAGAGAAATGGAACAAAACACGGATTAAACAGGAGCAGCAGTTATCTGTAAGTCTTAATTAAGTGAAAAATATGTTTTGGCGAATGAGTAATTTAAGGATTCCAGTGGTGAAACTGTGTGCGTTTGTCTGCTGCCTGAGGCTGTGAGTGACCATGTCCGACTTCTGGTGCCCTCATAATCCTTTCTGCTATTTCCAGAACTTCAGCATTCCCTGTCACAGATAGTAAATGGCTTATTGCTCCCCCTTATACCTCTTTTAGTGTAGCCACTCCAGTGATTCTATCATCTGGAGGCCTACAATGCAGCTTAAACATCTTAAAAATCTATTTTTTTTTTCTTAAATTCCACACCCCGAATCCTGACTAACCATTAGCACCCTGTCAGGTGAAGGGCTTCTCCTGGCATTAGCTCCCTGCTGTTCAGGAGGAAAGGTTTGACCCTGGGCTATGGAGGCTCTTGCTGCTCCTCAGCATGGCGTGTGATGAGGCCCCGTACTGACACAAGAGCTGAGCCAAAGCTGTCCTCAGCCCCTCCGAGACATCCTATACACAGGGGCATGGGGGTCAGGCCTTTCAAGACCCACCCTAACCAAAGTCTGTTGCAATTAATTGTCCCTGTCACGAAGTCTTTGTGTCACAATCTCAAGTTTCCACATTGCTCCCGTGCCCTCTCTGACAGTAAGTGGTCAACCTCCGCTTTTTGGCTTGACACTGCATTTGTAAAGGCCCATGACAGAGGCGAGAAACAAGTTCTTCTGTCCTCTCCCCACTGCGACAGCCCTGCTCAGTCACACACTAATTGAAGAGGTATTTAAGTGATTAATTGGACCTCTTTTGGAAAAGCAGCAAAGGTTTATGTGTGGGTTGGTTTTGGTAAATCAAAACGGTAATTAAAAAAGTATAGCCAGCGGCTCCTTGTGTTGAAGCAGGATGATTTTCTCTTTATTTTGTTGCTGTCATTTACCACACTCCTAAGGGCTTTTTACTTAGCCAAGGTGATGTGGAATATCAATTGTCCTGTTTTGGAAGTTAATTGGGGTCGAAAGTCCTTCGCATGTGAACACAGTGGTCAGCATTTGGCGAAGAAGGCGAGAGGAAAGAATTGATTTTCATTGTACTTTAGGGAGAATGAATTGTTTTCCTGTTTATTTCTTTAGCAAATGTTAGAACCATTAGTACAGTAAGAGTTTAATTTCTAACGCTCTGTGTACCACTCAGCAACACATCTTAGTTTTGTACTAAGTTTGAAAAAGCTGTTCTTGACATCAGGATGGTCAAATCACTGACATTTTTAAATTTTAAAGATGGCTTTAATATTCCAGTCCATTCAACTCTTAATTACAGCTGACTGTGGCCTTCAGTGTTTCTTCACAGCTAACATAACTGAATTTACACAGTGGCATTGATGATTGGTTGATGTACTTGAATGTTTTAGCTCCAGGGTGGCAGGCCCGTTGCTCAGCTCCCTGACCCTGAACAGGCACCTTTTAGCCTCCATCAAAGCATGCAGGGACCCAGTCTCGTCTCTGTTACCACAGCCAATGCTGAGGTTAGTAGGAGGGGGAGACGCTGTCCAAAACAATCAGCTGTTCAGGAGCGACAACTATCTGTCTTGTGTATTAGGGCCTGCCTTGCATGAGGAAACCTTTCCAGAGGAAGAGAGGTGAATGTGACTCATCTGCAAACATGTCAAAACGTTTCATCTCTTCATTACAGCACACCCAGAGCTTCTTTTTCTATTCATCTATTTCTATCCAATGTGAAATTCATGTCACTTACTCGGGTGTTCTCCGTGCTCACTAGGAATGTTTCCCGAAGGCTGTTTATATGCAGCCGGTTTCTAAAGTTCGCCTCTTCCCCACAAAAGCAGCAGCTCCTCACACGTTTGCATTTATGTCGGAGCCATTAGGATTCTGGTTGGGAGTGAAACTTGTGCATCTGCTACACAAATTTTGCTTTCTGACTGTTCACATATACCAGTATATGCTCCTTAAAATGTCATCTTAATGTTAATTTCATGCTGTTTTTCTTCCTGGTTTTCAACAGTCAACATATTTAACATATGAAACACAAAGGTCGTGAGAGAGAGAGAAGACATCTAGCAAAAAGTTTTTATTTTGTTTGTTTATATTCCCTTTTAGGCAGACTACTACACTTGCATAGCTACCATAGTGTACCTGCGCAAGGAAAACTGCCTATACCAGGCCTGTCCCAGCCAAGACTGCAACAAAAAAGTCGTAGACCAACAGAATGGCATGTTCCGCTGTGAGAAGTGTGACAAAGAGTTCCCCAACTTCAAGTACCGCCTCATCCTTTCTGTAAGTGACTCAGCCCTGGCTTCCTCATTCATCTCACACACACACGCATACCTATATGCTAATGCACGTATCTTAAATGCCCAGGTCTCATGCATATTCCTGTGCAGATGCATCTGCTGAGGATATGGATATCATCCTTTAATCTTTCTCAGCTTTCTGTTCTCCTGACTTACTGTCCTCATTCATGTTTCTGTCTCCTAGAACTCAAGTCACTCTCTCCCCTTACAGTCCACTCCCTGTGGTTCAACATTGCTCCAGTTTGCTCTTTGCAGTTACATTTAGAGGCATTTAAAGCACATTTCAACACTTGTTTAAATCTGCGAGATGTCATGTTAATTAGTGCAGACTTTCAGTACTGTGATCTTAGTTATTTTGCAGGGAGGAACACAAATGCAAACCCTCTTCAGCTTGTTTGCAAACAAACATTTTAAAAAAACAAAAACAACATTGCATACAGAAACTCACTTAGTCAGTAACATAGCAATTGCAGCCAAGCATCTAAAATAAGCGGCTTTTGTTTTGTACCACTCACCACTCAACATATTGTTATTCTTCACAAGCTGTAGCATAAGCTGTGAATTTGCTTCCACTGTATGTATCACAAGAGCACCATGACTGTGTGTTTTGCCAGGCTTGCCAGCAGGATATAGGCTCATTAGAGAATGTAATGATTTCTTAAGAGCAGAGAGATGTGTTAAGTTAACATACCACATTTAAGCTATCAAAACTAAAGAGTACATTGATCTGTACATATGTATGCATCTAACTTTTCTTACCATTTACTCTTGCCTTTTCTTTTCTATATTATCTGACAGGCCAACATTGCAGATTATGCGGACAACCAGTGGGTGACTTGCTTCCAGGAAAGTGCAGAGGCCATCCTGGGCCAGAATGCAGCTTACCTGGGGCAGCTCAAGGACTCGGTGAGACTCCTCTTCCTGAATATAATACTGCCCCCAGGAAATGGCCAGGGCAAGAGCTAAACCTCAGACTTGGTGCCAAACTCTCTCACACTCTCACACTCTCTCTTTCTCTGTCTCTGTCTCTGAGTTGTCAGACACTTTATTTTGCATTGGGATTAAACTAGCAAACGACATGTGTTCATCTTGAAAGTGAGCCAATCAAATCTTTCTAATTTTCAGAACGAAGCCGCCTTTGATGAGGTCTTCCAACAAGCCAACTTCAACACTTTTGTCTTCCGCAGCAGAGTGAAGCTGGAAACGTATAACGTAAGTAAAGCAGGGCGGTAATTAGTCTGATAAAACGCCTCCGGGTTTGTTGTCATTGCAGCATGCTTTTGTAGACGGACCATATTGGTGCAATACAATAGAAAACATGCCTGGAAGGAAGAAAAAGGATGCAGCCTCAATCCCTTGAACCACCATCATTCCTTTCCAAGCTGAAAATGCACAGCACGTAAACAGGTTCTTTATGTTTTAGCTGTTTGTGGGCTTTTTCTCTTTGATAGTTTTCCCATTGATTAACAAAACGACCCTGCTTTCATTTTGACTGACAGAACTGTCTCTAAAAAAAAAAAAAAAACAGTTTGTCCTTAAATGCTGCTCATTTTCAGTGGCAAACAGATTAGTCGTGGTCACTGTTTCCTGTAGACCACACAGATAGAGGTTTGTTGTGAGGGAAGCACATAAAAGAATTGATTGGGCTGGGACTCTGAGCAGGAAGTCTGGAGCCGAGCCAGAGGCTGCATCCGCCTTCAACGCACAGAAGAGGCCACTGTGTTTGTCACATTCAGCTCAGCATCCGAACTGCCAATGGCACTGCTACAAGCATGTATTGGCTGCTGCCTCCAAACCCCATATTCCTTCAACAGGGACACCTGCAAACCCTTCTTTCAGTTTATTTTGTGTTTCTCAATGCTACAAGCCAGACATTGTTCCGTGCCCTCACATGTTGTCATGTACACAATGTTGTATGTGCTTGATGTGGGACTGAGCAGGTCCTTAACAGTTAATGACACCCATCCATCTTGTTGTATCATAGGGAGACTTGAGCTTTGACTGGGTTCTCTAACAAGGTTTATCAGATCAGCTGAGGAAATTATATTCTTCATTTGTAATTTAATCCAGAACCGGCAACAGTCGCATGAGGAGTATGATGAGATTATCCATTATAATGACTTTAAAACACACATTTAACGGTCACCTTGGCTATAGGCTAACTAATGCTGGAAAGGCAGATGTTTGGCCATGTGCTTGAAGCTGTAATGTTTAATCATTTAGTCAGTCAAAAGATTTTTTGTATAATCAATTGTAATTTTTTAAGGAAATTAACGTAACATTTTCCTTGTTTAACCTCTAAAATGTGACGATGATCCCATTGAATATTTTGGACTGTTCAGACAAAACCTGCAATTTCAAGACATGTGATTTCTTTAAAAACTTGATTTAATAGTGAAAATAATTGTTAGTTTCTGCCCTTCACAGTATATTACATATAGCTAAATACATCTAACGTGATTACTATCACATCATTACATAAAATAATGATAGAAGACTTGTTATAAAGATGGAGTCTTGTGCTACATTTTAAACTAAAGTTTGCCCATCCATAATTAATGTCATTCTGGCTTTAAAATTCCTCAATAAATGAGCATAAAGCCCTTTTAAGGATAAATATAGGGTGCCTGTGATTAATTACAGCGTATTCATCAAAACAAGTATGATATGCAGTTGGTTCATGTGGGCGTAATGCATAATGTAATTATTGTCACATAAATCAATGTCAGTTGTATTTTGTTACTCAAAATGCCAGTGTTTTGATATGTGTAGGTAATTTTGTTTTTACACTCAAAATGTCAGTGCATGAATGATTTAATTACTATAAAATGTGTTATTACTGTCAAAACACAATCTTTTAAATATTATCACTCTATACTTGAGTCTTTGACAGTCTTAAATGTTTAACTTGCCTGACACCAGGAATGTCTGCTCGAGGCCATAATATTCAAACTGTTGTGTCGTTATTAAGGTCTCATGGTCCCTGTAGGCAGTGTCTAGACATTGTAACTGATTTAAGTGTCTCAAAAGGATGACACTGATGGAGAAAGTGATATTGAACACTGAACAAGCCTTTTTACTGCAGCACTGACCCAGTCTTGACTACTGCAGGCCCAGTTTCAAACTGAAATTTAGTGGATGTCAAAGCAAACAGCTGGTCGACTGATATTTTCTCATTCATAATTCCTGTCTGTCTTACAAGATGCTAATTACATAATGAAGTCTGGTACATTATTCTGGGGTTACAGTGAAGGGAGTCTGTGTAGAGAGTTCCCAACACTGGTTGTCCTGGTTAAGAACCACTGGTGTAGCATTGTGTGCAATGATCTAATATACAGGTGACACCTAGGTTAATGACTTCAGGTGAACATTTGATGGATTAAGTTACTCATCAGATCCTGATATGAGTGCCTGTGCCAATTTTCAGCCAATTTGTAATCCCTCTCTCTTCTAAAGGCTGCATAGGAAGTGTTTCTGGCAAGTTCAATCTGTTACAAAAACCTAACTGCGGAACTGTATGTGATATTTCTCTTGTGCTTGTGTGTATACACATTCGCCGTGGTGGCTGTAAGGGGAGGCAGCACAGGATGTCCAAGTGGGGATCAACACCCAACTTGACTGTGTGATGTGGACTGCTTGCAGATTCAAGCACACATCTCATCTTACTCACCCACTCGTCAACTACAACCACAATCAACATTACTGTCAGTGTGGATGTGGGATACCACAAAAACACTCTAATAATCCCCTGTTCATACATGCCCTGCAGTTCTTTCTTTAAGATGAGCAAGACAGCATTAATTTTTAATGAACTGGAGGAAGAAACTCTATTCTTATTGTATAACAGTATAAAACCAAATGACTCCAGGAAAAAAAATGAATTAGATTGGTTTGACATTTATGTTATCTACTTAAATTTAATCTTAAGAGTTCTACAACAGGAGCACATGTAGGGGTGGGCGATCTGACGATTTTAGATCATGATTGATCTTGAAGGTGCCCACAACCACTTTTCAGGCAAATTATAGAGCTGTATTTATGTCTTATTTCTTTCCAAACTTCACCGACTTGCTGTTCTGCACTGTATGAACCAGTAGCGATAACGAGACGGCTGTGCTGATTGGACACATTACTTCATGCAGCTCTTCCTTGGCTCACATTATAAAGAATGCAGCACGTTCGATGTCAGTTATATGGGAATGCTTTGGATAGGCAGTGTCAGATATTTTCCAAGCCAAAGTTATCTGTAAATGTTGAGCTCTACTGTACAACAATGTTTATATCCATGTTTGCTAAATTGTCGTCCTCTACATGTCCTGGCATGTACCAACTACAGTTACTACTACTACTACTACTACTAACCACACGTAATCCTTCTACTGCACACTGAAGAGGGATTTTAACCTGTTCCCATGTCACACCTGTTTCCTAACTAATGCCAAGATAGTAGGCTGGAGTGACTGTTTTTATGCAACGCTTTATTAAAGTATTAGTGTCCAGTTCATTTATATATATTAGTTTAAAGAGTGACTTCATTCTTGCTCATTCTTTTATACGTCAAACCACGATGAAGTTTTCACTTATTTTATATTTCTGTATATAATATGTCCGTATTCCTCCTGCCTCACACAAAACAAGCAAAGATTTATAGCAGGCTATTCTTAAAGACTGTGGGCAACAATCCAAAGGAAGATGATTTACATTTCACCCACTTGAGCTGCAGAGGATTAATGGAGACAAAATGAGTGTAACCTCTGTTTAAATGCAGAGAATAATGGCCCTGGTAGAAATGACCTTCCCCTGTCTAGACAGCTGTGGAGGTGGTTATGGCTTTAAAAGCGGCCTCTTTTTTGTGAAAAATTGATTTGAATGCCAACACAATTCAGATACCCAGTCCAAACATCTCACATTAACCCACTTTGTCACAGAGAAGGTGCCAATATTGTACGTTTCCAGTAGACAATAATGGATTGCATAAATGCGTGTTTGTGAGAACATCTGAAGACCTCAGTACCTATTTTGTCACCTAACTTTCAAATCCAAGCAGACATGTACAAGTTAATGTTCATACCAATGGGTTTTCTTCTTGTTTGTCTGACAGGATGAATCCAGGATCAAGGCTACAGTGATGGATGTGAAGCCTGTTGATCATAAGGACTACAGCAAGAGGTTGATCATGAACATAAGGAAACTGGCTGCCTAGTAGCAACTTGTGACACAAAGTATTGTTTTTTGCTTGCCTTTGCAAGTTTCCCTTTGTTTCTGTACAGCCAATAAACAGCTCTAAACCTATGAAAATGTTTTGCCTACAAGGCGATTGTTTTGTTTGTTGTTTTGTTTTTTTTCATCTTCCTGTGAATGTGTAATCCCATAAGTACTTGCGACTGTTGGCCTTTCTTTTGAAAAATAATGTTTGGTGACCTAATTCTGACTACTTTTTTTTTTTTTGGGTTAACGTAATAGACAATGATTTTCACCTTACTCTTTTGTTACTTGGGGAAGCAGAGAAGAGAGTGGGTCAGGTCAGTAAGCCACAAAAGAAATCATCACTGTCTGTCTTAAGTCAGCCAGTTGTTCCAGCATGTACTGTGGTCATGCGGGGGTGGTGAGGACCAGCACAGTGCTAGCACTCTTTTCACTTTCTGACGCGCACTCAAAATGGCTGGGCTGGACCTGCACATCCCTGATAAGACCGTTTACTCTCCCACTCTCTTTTTCTCCCCGCCGTCTCCTACATACTTGCAAACATAAGCACATATACACATGCACAGTACAGACTTAATGGGAAATGTACTGCATTCTATTTAAGTGGATACAAGGTGTTGTCCATATTTTCAATGCCTGTTAGTGTATGTGTGTTCTGTATTTCTCTAGTTCTGTCCTTTATTTTTGTTGTGATGAATAACTCTGAAAATAAATGTTTGTAAATCAACTTGACTTTTACATTGGCCTTCATTTGTATTAATTTAAGTACCGAACAGTAAAACAGTTAAAACAACTGTCCCTTACAGCGCCTGATCTGAGCCTATTAAAAGCAAACGAAAACATGTAAACTATTTATTTATTTTTTTATTTTTTTTTTTTTTTTTAAAAGGAGTTGCACCATGTGTATGGGATTTATTCAAGGGCGGGCACACAATGCCCTCTATCTCCTCAGGTTTTGCTCAGATGTGCAACAGATTCCCCTGCAAACTTGACTTTCATGTTGTATTAAAGCAGAGCATCAGTGAGGCTGCACCTCCCCATATTTCTTGTGATAACATCTCGTTTCTGCTGAGCGCTGCATCTGTTGCCTGTAGTGTGCCGAGATGGATTAAACCTGTCTTTAAATGGTAAGGAAAGGTACGTTGGACTTATTTATTTTATTTTGCCAGGCATGCTCGGAGATATTGATTTGAGTTTGCCTGTGATCGCATTCCCACATCTCGTTGCTGACGCTGTTTGGTTATTTGAACTATTAATGTGCTTCCTCTGTTTTTCCTAGAGGTTGCAAGACATCTATGAATCTTTTATAACACCACAAGTCCGTTACTGTTGTAGGTAATGTCAAAGGTCGCCAGTGATGTCTCACCCCATTCCTGCCTCAAACTCAAGAGAACAACAACAGGAAGAGCCTGATAGGACCTGGTGGCTCCTTAGCCATCCAAACTGAAACATTTTATTCAGTGATGCACACAGCACTGCTGAGAGAGAGAAAAAAGGTTGTACTTCTGCCAGGGTAAATCTAGCAGTTTCCCTTGGGAGTCAGAGGAAGAGAGTTATTTTCTGCCCTCATTTACATCTGGCATCCCATAAGCTTTTATTTGAAACAAGAAAACTGTAACTATTGTTCAACCCTCAGCTCAAGTGAAGTCCTTTGATAATTCAGTTCGCACACCTGTTTTGTAATTTTGATTAAGCTGATTAGACCCTTCTAGTTAAGTAAAAAATTAGATTGTAATGCATTTATAATTGATTTTGCAGTGAGATTGGCAGACTAACTGGACTGAATTGCATTTGTTACTCCGGAATAGTTTGCTCTTGCTGTTTTTATTAGGAGTAGATGAGCGTGGCTAAATGGAATTGTCACACAGCATGGTGAAAATGAAAAATATTGATTATAATATGAGTTGGCACTCTGCTGGGGTCATGGGTTTGTTTCCACCCCATCACCATTTACGGCATACTGAAAATGTAAAATGGTGTCTATTAGAGGCACTTCTGATAAAGGTTTTGACCAAATGTCTTTATGATTAATTTATGGTTGTAAGAGAAGCAAAAACCTGTGACGGATGTCAGAAATGAATACAAATCAAAGGCATAATTGCACACAATGTTTTTTTTTTTGTTTTTTTTTTAATATTTGACTTGAGTGAAAATTTGGACATAAATACTTTGAAAATGTTGAAACTCAGTGTGGGTCATAAACTAGGCTACATGCAAGGCAGCATTTGCACTAATTATTGTGCTAATTATCCAGCATTGCCGCTGTGGTATCAACAGATGCCACACTGTTGAGCCATTGATTGCTTTGTTGCCAGGCTCATCTGTTATACTGATGTGTTTATGGGTTTGACATTTTGTGTCCTGGCCTGGGAAAATATCATTTATAAGTTTTTATGTCTGACTTAAAGAACATCAATTTTATTCTAAATGCAATTGCCCATAAGATTGAGCACCTAAGGCACATTGTAAGGCGCAGTGTTTGTTGCTTGGCTTTGTATCCCCGTTTAGATTCGTTGGCAGCTGCTCCCATCTTTTCAAGAATAGATACCTCTCATTTCGATCAACTCTTAATTCATGTTGGCGTTCAGTACTGCACATAACAGGTGTGTTGAAGGTTTAAAGCCTCAGGTTTCATTTGCAGCCCATCACCAGAAGGAGGTTAAGGTGTAGAAGATGTACTGTATTCTTCATCATTAGGCTGATAATACATGCCTGTGCAGATTAAATATTAACTTGTATACATACCAACGCTTCATCAACAAATACAACATTATGTAACTATGATGCTCCCTCCATGTTGCTCTAATGAGACAAATTGTGTGGTACGTTGTTAGGAGCTGCTGTTATATGAATATGGCAGTATTGCCTCCTGTTTCTCACAGCTTAGTGTGTACACGTACACAAAAGTAGATTTGTAGATACAAACTCTACCTTTAATAGCTATACAGTAATTATAATGATGTAAAATCCTTCTGTAATGGGCCATTCTGCATTATGAGTACTTGTACTTTTCTACACTATGGTATGGCTACTTTTACTTAAGTAAAAGATCTGAGTACTTCTTCTATTACTGGTTGTCTTTTCCTTTGCTCTAAGGCACATACCTAGCCATTTTGTGAATGAAGCATTTAATCCTATGCTAACTCAATTCTATGTATTAATGGAATCTGTGTAATGGCGCTATTACAGAAATTGAATATGCTCTGATAGTCCATATTCCACCGGAATATGAAACCAGTCTAGCCGTGGGGTCCAGTCAAAGTAATCACCAGTCTAGTCTTTAACATTATGGAGTGCTTAAGTACTAACAATGTATTCACATACTGTAGAATCTTTAAAAAAAAAAAAAAAAGCACATATGCAAATCATTGAGTTATTGTGTTCGTATTCCGTCTGCAGTGCCTTATCCGTGGCCTTGCCCTGTCTGACAGTTGTTTGTTTTATTGCTGGTGCTTCTCCTTTGGACCTGTGGAGCCCGGCAGGTTGAGACTCTATGCTGATCTTAAAGTAGGGAAAGCCTGTGGCCCTGACACTATGGAGACAAATGGGCAGGAGGAAGACCCCTGGGGTGCTGTTGTAATGAATGGGAGTAAGCAGTCTGTGTGTTTTTCAAGATTCATGGGTCTCGTTCCTTTGCTAGGCCAGGGGTATGTTAGCTTATGTGTATGAGAAGGGACAGGTGCAAGACTTTGTTTGTGCTCGAAGTCTAGACTAGGGACCTGTTGACCAAACACTGGCCATGTGGATGCAGCATTTTTTTTCCTCACTGGCCTTGCCAAGAGCTGTGCTGGTGATTGGATAGAATAAGTGTTTCTGGCAGGATCTGTGCTCCGTCTTCAAATGGGGTGCGGAAAATTGCAGTGACAGTCAAAAAGTCTGGCAGATGGAGAGCTGATCGTTACAATAATTGTTGCAATCAAATAAAGTAATAATCCATTGTTGCTTCTGAAAAGCAGTGCAGATTGAATCTGTAGATACAAATGTGTCTCGGGCCCCTATCCTGTTTCCACTTTAATTGGATTTGGGTGTAGATAGAGTTCTGTTTGTCTTCTCAAGCACTAGATTATAAGGCCATGTAGCGAATTTGTATTGTTATTTTCTCTGCGTTGTGTCCTTGTCATTGTGAGGGCCAGAAGTGTCGAAAAACACATTTTACTTTGATTCGATTTCAATGAATTGTTTTCAGTTTTGTGTTTTGTTTCTCCATCGCAACTCTTCTCAGTAAAATGTCAGACTAGGGACAGAGTTGCTTTGTACATTTCTCATGGTAAATGTGGTAGCAATCTCTGATCCACAGATTATATACTTTTAGCTGGTGCAATATTCTCCTATACACTAAACAGTTCAGGTAATAGCATACAAAGTGGACATGTAGTGTGTAGTGGTTTGATATTTTAGGGCCTAGAATCAGACTGATGTGATCTCTGGGGTAGACAGTGTTTTGTAGTTGGTTTGTAAAACAGTTACTTACTTTTGTGCATCAATTGAAATGCACATGAGTTTCTGTTTATTTATTTGAAACAGAAGATTATTTATACTTGTTTAAATTCTGTCCTCCTGTAATTCAACATTCAGTAACCTTTATCTCGACTGTGTGCGTGAGAGGAGCTTATTCATATACCGAGGTGATATGAATGTGGCTCGCAGTCTGGTTTACCTCAAACATTGCTATAGGAAAGAATTGGGTTAGATGTAACAACACTTTTATCTACAACACATTAAAAAAAGGTCTTATGTTAGGTAGGTCTGGAGGTATAAATCCCTGAGGATGGGACCATTTTTTCTTTATCATGTAAAGAAACAAGGTAGTGCATCCCTTAAACTGTACCTATAGGTTAGGATGATATTGTACACACCAGCATCATCTCATAAACAACAGAACAACCTTCCTGAAAATACAGATTCTCTAAGGAGGCTGTTTGTGTTGCATATACGGTCTCTTGACATAATTACTGCATGTGTGTGTATATATATATAATTAAATTAATGTAAACTTATAATGAAAAATTAAAATACAAATTGGCTTGGATTCCATATGTATGAGGAAAGACGATGTAGGGGTTTGTCAGGTTTTTTTTTTTTTTTTGCTTTAA